TCTATCTATCTATCTATCTATCTATCTATCTATCTATCTATCTATCTGGAGAAAAAGAGAGACAGACTCACAGACAGAAAAAGGCCTATTTTCTGGTACAGCTCTGGATTGGTGTGGGTGACAGTTTTCCGACTACTGCAGTAAAAGCTGCTGCACTGGATTAAAAACTCTGTTAACGGTGACCCCATCTGTTGTCCACATGAGGACAACCGCCATTGATGGGCAGTTGAGGCTCCCTTCACATTTACTGACGTACTTCAGGGAATAGACCTGTCACCAGTCACCATCTGATGCCAGCTCAGTATTGTGTCGGTTTCCCTCTGAAGAGTGATAGCCTCAGTTAGACTTTGTTTTTGTGGGCGGTCACAGCACTGTCCCCCTCAGCTGTGGCCTAGCCTTCTAATTAGCTTTTGGTTAATTGCAGGCTTAATAAAACCTGGTATCATGAGACACACCGCTTCATTTGGCCCTTTTATTCTGCTGCACATTGGATTGTCTTGACATGCAGTACAACAGTAGCAGTTTATTTCACTGACATCACATTCTTTAACTTTAAGGGGAGGAGGCACTCTTATGGGCTGAAAAATTCAATTAGATTTTCCCCTCCAAAGCTATCATCCTTGGACAACTTTAAGAAAAATCACCCCTTCCGTTAGATCTGTAGGCAGAATTCTTACCGGTCATGCATCCATGAATGAGAATGTAATGACTACAGCAGTGCTCTGCAGAACACTGGCTCCATTACTCTTTTTCCAATGCTGGGCAGACTTTATTATGCAGTTTTTCCCCCGGGTTTCATGCTGTTTATATTCATTTTCTTGGTAAAGTTTGGCCTGTTGTATTTAAAATATTCTGAACATTAATATTGATTTAAATATAGTTAATATCATATAAGCAAGTTAAACAGACCCTGAGAAATGAAGTGTGATCTGTGTGCAGTTTCACAGTTTCGGTGACCAGTTAGTTTTTAGAGGTATCAAACATGAAGATATTCAGTTACACATTTTTTCTCATTCATCATTGTGGAACAGAAAGGCAGATGCACATATGTGACATTTGGTTTTTAAAACTATCACCACAGATGCTTCCTGGTCATTTTCATTTTGGTCATTTTTGAGCCCCAGAGCATATCACGCAACTGTGTTACTTTGGGGAAATATTTGAATGCAATTGTGCTGAAATGGAATGCTCACTGATAAACAAAATGCTTTGCGTTGGAGGAAGGCCAAAGCTGCAGTTCAGCTGCCGAAGACGGAGAAGGGACAGTCCTACACTGCCTCTCAATGCTCTTATTTGTTTCAGCTGAAGAATGTTAGCTGTTAGTCACTCCGCTGATTCCTCTAATAAAAGTGGCCTGAAACATAGATATGTTTATCACAGTTTTTGTTCTATGTAAACAGTATGATCAGTGTCCCTCCACAGCCTTTAGTCTTTACTTATCTACACAAAAATCATGCAGAATGCTGTAAGAGAAAGCCTAAATCTAATCAATAGGAGCTGAGGCCTGAACCTGTCCGGGCACATGCACTCATTTATTGAAGATTTTTTATGCTGGAATGTTCATACAAGCATCTAATGAAACATTCCTGTGGATTTAGGTTGCATGACTTGTTTCTCTCTTTTCGTGTAATCACAGACCGCAGTTTGTTTGGCTCAGAACTCTCTGGGGAGCATTTCACCCCATGCAAGACTCCTTATCTTTGTGCCATTGATTCTAGTACTTAAAGGCTTTTGCGTTGAGAGATTGATGTTATGCTGATATACTAATAAAATCACTTTTATTGTAACAAACTTTTTATCATTTGAACTTTACTTTAACCCACTACTTTAACTTTAACATTAGGCGGACACTGTTTCTCTAACATTTGTATGTTTTCATCCTCTACATGTACTTCATTTGCTTCTCCAGGTGAGAGCTACGTGTGTGCCTCCAACGAGCCCTTTCGACGCGTGGATTACTCAAAGAACGTCAACCCCAACTGGTCGGTGGGCAGCAAGACCGGTACATCCCGCTCCCTCACCTCTCTCTTCCCGCTAAAGGGCGAGCTCCAGCGAGAAGCCAAGGACTTCATCAAACCCAAGCTGGTCACAGTCATCCGCAGCGGCGTCAAACCCCGCAAGGCGGTCCGGATACTGCTCAACAAGAAGACCGCGCACTCCTTCGATCAGGTGCTCACTGACATCACAGATGCCATCAAGTTGGACTCTGGAGCTGTGAGGCGGCTGTACACTTTGGAAGGCAAGCAGGTGAGTCCGATGAGTGGAAACTAACACGCCGACATTTAAAAACCTAGATGGTGATATGAACTGTTCGTCTGGGAGCCAGATGGTGCTGGATGGGGCTAATCTCTAAAAACAACTGTGATTTCTAGGTTTTGTCTGTCAGCAGTCTGGGTGATTATAGTCCATTCAATCATTCACTCAAGGGTACATTTTTTTATTTTGACAAAGCAAGAGTAAATACCCTTCGGAGTCTGGACGTTTTACAACATCTGTATATTTTCCTGCTCCCTCACACCACATGACACTGTACATAGTATGGTTCCCCTTCCCATGAGAGGCTAATGGCTTCTCAGTACTGGGAGACTCCATCAGCTTGAACACATGGTGCTCCTCTTCATAAAGATTTTTATTAACTTCTCAGCTGGCAGAATTCACAGATAATTATGAAAAACAAAAAGGAGGTTGTTTGCAAAGGGCTTCTCAGAGATCAGTCGATGTTTATTATTGAAGGAGCAGGTTCAATCTTAGTGTTTCTCTCTGGATAGGATTCAATTTAGCAAGCTAATAAAGTGCAAACACAGGATATTGCTGAGGTATTTGCCCAGGCGTTTTATCCTTCAGTCTGCTTTCAGTCTCATTTCAAAGTGAATAAATGTTTCAATTAAATGGAGTCATTGCTGACTTATGAAATAAAAACTTGTGTGGTTAAAGCAAATAGATCTGGAGAGAATAACACAGCAGCATATATCAACAGACAGTTTTTTCTGTAAAAGAACAAGAACAAAAACTCCATCCCATAACAGAACTATTCCGTGTTTCTTCAACTCGTCCGATCTGGGTTATGAGCCTAACAGTATTAATGTTACATCAGTGAAGGAAAACAATTATATAGTATTTATCTAAGTCAAATAAATGAGTCTGGTTAGGTTAGTCCTGTTAGAAGGCTTTTCTGTGGTCAGACTAACAGGAATAGAAAAGTTTAAACTAAGAATCAAAGCCCGTATTTTTCCTGTGACTTTACAGAAACCTCTGTGACCAATGAGTCATGATAAATCTGATCCTTATGGCTTCTGACAGCAGAAGCCCAGTACTGTTTCAGTCAGGGAATCTCCATGCACCTTCTGCTGACTTTTTATTATTACAGGACATGATTTTAGCCTGAAGCGTCCTGCATTGGATGGCTTGTCTCTCGTGTCAGTTAACAGGTTAGAGACACTTCAGATAACCCATTATAACCAAAGATAATTTGTTAAAAAAGAGTGTGCTAAAATAAAAACTTTTTGGATTCAGAGCTGTGCATAAACATTGCCTGCAGTGTGTAGTCTGGTCTGATACCTGTGACACACCCTCCCGGTGTGTGTCTGTCTCAGCTCGTGGTTAATTCCAAGTATCCCAAGACTGCAAGACATGCAAACCAGCTGTCCTTCCCTGGCATTTTATGCTCCACCAGGCCAGGAGGAATGAATCGGTTGGCCTTTCTTGATACGCTGATCGTTGTCTGACTTGATGTTTTTACCCTTTATTATAAGTCGGATTGATTTTTTTATGATTATCAAGCATAGAAAAAGAAGGCAGTAAACCATGCGAGTGAGTGGACCTCTGAGACCTCAGTGTGCTGTCCAGCTTTCACAGCTTTAATTTCATGTGATTTTGGTTGGATAGGATTTGTGAGAGTAAAAGCAGGGGGGGGGAATCCCAGTCCCCCCAGCAGCTCAGCTCAGTTTGCTTTGCTTTTTGTAAACCACCATGTTCTTTTATCATTCTTAAAGCAATTCTAGTTCAGCCAACATGGTACCAAAATTGGCAGTATGACTAGTTGAATTCAGCAAGCTTGGCTGCTGGAGAAAGTCATGCTTCTTAATTAGCTTTTCATATATCTTGAATCAATATCCCAGCAACATAGTGCTGCTGTTGTATGTCAGTCATACTTCTGCAGACTACAAGGTATTTTAGTGGATAGTTAAGACTAAATACCTAAAATAGTTAGGACTAAAAACGTAGGATAGGTCATAGAATGCTAATTTTTTTGATAAATGATTTATTTGCTGTTTGAGTAATAAGCAATTGAATATAGTTGGATATATTCCAGTTTTTGTTGCCTCTTTACATTCATATTTAAAACTTAATATCTGTTATTCGAGTATTTCTTGTCCTAATCAAACTTTTTTTTTCCCCGTCAGCAGCTGAAAATGAATGAAGCTTGCTGTTTTAATCCAATTTTATGAGTAGCAACAATTCTAACTGCAGCAGAATCCTGGAGTGATTTTTGCTGCAGTCATTTGTGATGCATCATAGGAACCACTCTGTACTGATGAGTTTGGGATTACTCAAGTCTTAGTGGGGGTAAAAGTTAGTTTTTCTTTAACTTGTCACGCTCTCTTAGCTTAAATAGGATTTACTCGAAATTGGATTGAGTCTAAATTAGAGGTTTAACCCAATAAGTCTGTAACCTGATCCAGAGCTGGACACACGATAATACCCTGTGGATCGTATTCTTACTCCAACTTAAGCAGAAGCTACTGCTTGTACGAGGTAGATATCGGACGTGTGCGTGGTAGTTTGACCCCTTGGTCTCATGGTGGCATAGTGATGGACTGGCATCCTGTGCAGACTGTGCCCTGCCTCTTTCCCAGTAATGCTGGATTGGTTTCGGCCGGTTTAGAAAATGAATGGAAGGGTTGATGGATGAATATGTGAGAAATTGATATCTCAAAAATAGTCAGATTCTTCCCCAGTGTGACACCTTGATCATTTGTTTGGAGCATCATAGTGGAGAACCTTTCTTTGACATAATTGGTCTGCACGTTGTATTTCTCTTTCCAGATGATCGCTGAGTTGAATCGACACTGTTTTGAAACTAAACTCTGGAATGAACATGAAAGTCAGATTAGGTGCAGCAGTGTCGGCTTAGACTGCCCCCCCCTTTAGTCAGAAATTTCTGATGAACTGGTGGCCTCGTTCTGCATGAGCAGTTTATTCGAAAACCTTCTTATTATTCAAGTTGGAACAAACTCCATACGTTCTAAAACAAAAAACCCTTCTAAGGCTCATCGCACACACACCGTTGCACACACACACACGTGCACTCTCCAAATGCCTTCCAGCAGCAGCCCACCATCTGCTCCTCCAAAATAAAAACTCAAGTCTCAGCCACCTGGTTTGCAGGCACTGTAGCACCCATCCAACACTCCCCTTGCCCACACACACATACACACACACACTCATGACACACAGACACAAACACCCCGACTGGGGCATTGGTCATCGGATAATTAAAACTTTAAGCTGCAGGGAAGGGTTAAAGTGCAGCTGTCAGGTGTGTTTGGGGGTGTGTGATCATGGGTGTGTGAGTGTGGGTGAGAGTACTTCCACAGTACAGCTCTGTACACTCTCTTTTTCTCCTCCAGTCAAAGCTGCTCTTCAGACTGACTGTTAACTGTTGATCTTGGTCACGGGGGCCAGCAGAGTCAGCTGCTGCTTTTCAGAGACCCTGCTTTACATTTCAAAGCTGGCTGGGCAGGCAGAGAATAAGATTTCCCTATTTTCATTATGTAGTTGTTACATTCACTAATTTGAGAAACAGCCAAGTAGTTAATACTTTTGTCTTGTTATTCTTTTTTTTACAATGTTTGTTTTTGGAAAAAGGAGGAAAAAAGATCTATGTGATAAAACAGATGAATTCATTTGGAAAATTCTTAATTTGCAAATACTGATTAATGTTTCTTTTTTCAAATTGCACTCATAAAGTCAGACGTGTAGAGGTAATCTCTACATGCTGAGCAGACATGACAGGACTGTTTGTCTGAGCAGAATAAAACTGCAGCCACTGTCAAAATTCTAAATAAAGTATTAGACTTTTGCAGAGGACATTTCTGCCTGGATTGCCCTCTTAGCTATCTTCTTTCTCACAAATGTGTTCTTTCTATTGCTGACAGCCTTTGTTTTATTGATGTAATCTCTTTTATTCATAGGCAAATGTCATTATCTGCATTATTTCACATTATCACCATGAAATGTACCGTTACATATACAGTAACAAGATAGTCAGCTTCAAACACAGATAGGCAGCTTCCAGCCCTTCCTATTTTTCCCTTTAAACAACAAAAAACTAAGTAGAAACAAATGAAGGGCGAAGCACAGCCCATTCAGTGTTCTTTATTTGTGATCGGGGAAAGCTGGATTCAGTCCAGAGTTTGTTCCTGCCTTTTACCACATTTAGCCTTCAGCTTTCTGTGACCCTAACATACGAGTAAGGAAAGGCAGCCTCTGAGTTGGACTGCTATTAAAACAAGACTGATCAATATGTTACATAGCGAAACCCCATTTCTCTGTGGGTTGTGCGAGGTAATCATTGATTGTCATACTCTAACATCTGCCAAGTTTCAAAGCAGAAAGAGGAAGGAAGTATCAAAGAGTGTTAACTTCTCGTGTGCAGCATTTATGGCCATTTTTGCTGTGCGCCAGAAGAAAATCAATCTGGTCTCAGTGGACCTTTTTGTGGCCACCTTTTTCAGTTTTGTAGACATTCTCATTTAGTTTGGCTACAGTCTGTAACATTGCTCACATTTCTAACTGAAATCTTGAAATTGATTTATCTCTGGATAAATAGTGAAGGCTTCCACCCCCCCGTGACCCTGTTTGGAATAAGCAGCATTGAAACTGGATGGATTTATAGTGAAGGCTTTTGAGCCTTGGTAGGCAGTGCAATATTCCTGCCATTCATCATCTCAAGAGCCAAATGTTCACAGCTCTAGGCTGGCACATTCAGAACCCTGTATAATCATGTCAAGCCACTCGAAATACAGATACCTAATATAGTTTAAGAAGTGCTGATTAAGTGACAGTAGTATATCAAACTGATTTCATACAAAGCTTTAAATGAAAAAACTCTATCAGACATGATTGGAAAAGATACCCAGCATAGGGACATAGCAAGGATGGCTATGTTGCTGCCAACATTCCCAAAAAACTGTTGGCAACAGTGGAATTATAAATGCTCAATGCATGAGATAAAAAAGAGGGGCATCTGAATCTCCTCACTGAGAAAT